CTTCTTCTCGGAGATGAAGGAGAAGAACATGTCCGTCTTGTACCACTCGGCGTAGTTGTCCACTTCCGATCCGATCGTCGTCATGTACTTATGCCCGGCCGGCTTCGGCTTCATGTACTTTGAGCCGTAGCTGTCTCGGTAGCGCGCGGGCAGGCTGTCGAGCAGCGCCTTGGTCTCCGGGAGGAGCACCGCCGAGCTCTTCTCGTACCAGCCCTTGCACGCGTGCGTCACGATCTTGACCTCGCCGCTCTGCTGCAGCGTGCGGATGAAGCCGCTGATTGCCTGCGACAGGAGCTGGACCTTGCGCTCCGACGGCGGAGAGGCGCCCTCCCGCACGCGGTCCTTCCACGCGGAGGTCGGAAAAAGCGTGTCATCCCAGTCGATCAGCACCACGCTGTGCTCGCCTGGCACAAATATCTCATGCTTGGAGTCGTCGGCTGCTGCGGCGTCGCCCTCCTGCCGTCGCTTTGCATGCGCAAGCCGCTTCGCCGCGGCGGCGGCCTTCATCTCCTCGGCCTTGCGGCGCGCGGCCGCAATCTTCTCCGCGTGCGTCGACATGGTCAAAAGCGCGCGCAGCGCCTAGTGTTCTGGGTTTCTTTATTCGAGCTCCACCGGGTGGTCGATCGAGCTCCACAGAGCGACACACAACGGCGCTCGCAATGGCCTCACTCCTCGCAGTGGCGTTTGCTCTCCCGGGCACCCAGACTGGCCGCTCCGCCGTGCTGACGCGGCGCGGCGCCGTCGGTGCGCTTGTTGCCGCCGCCGCGCCAGTCGCGGTCTCTGCGGATGGAGCCAACTCCAAGGCCACCGTGGACAAGGCGCGGGCTATTTACGGCAGCCGGGTCGTGCGGTTGGCGAGTGCAAGCCCCGAAGCCATCATCGAAGACCAGAACGCAATCACGCTCTTCATTTCCGGTGCCTACCGGGCGGGTTCAGTCACTAGATGGTCGACGAAACCCGTCGCCTGCCTTTGGGCATCTTACACACGCACGGGCGACTCTTCTTCTCGGGCAGCAGCAGCTTACACCGCAGACAGATCCTCTTGGGTCAAGATGGTCAGGAGGATCACTGGTCGCGAGAGGAGGAGGCTGAGAGCGTGGAAGGAAGCGCTCCACTCCCAGCCACAGCCTGGCCACCCCGCGCGGACACGGGGCGCCCCATAGCCCCACTCGACACGGGGCGCCCCATAGACCCCGGTTCTGTTGCGCTGCACTAATTACGCCACGGCCCGCTCGCCCACGCAGGGCCGAACGGAAACACGCAGGACAAGGCCATCTCCAAGCAGCTTCTGGCGCTGAAGAAGACTGCCCTCGACGGCGCCAAATCGGGCGACGCGGCAAAAGCACAAGGTGCGCTCAAGGAGATGATCGCGATCGCCAAGCTCACCGAACAGGACGGCTACGACGGCAACTACAACCCGAAGCAGCGCAGGAACCCGGGCGCCCCCCCGACCGAGGCCATCGTCGCTCAGATGGGCAGCGAAGCGTACGCGCTTTACGACCGTTACGACGCGCGCTCCGCAGGCGCGCCACAGAAGAAGTGATGGCCCGTCCACACACGTGGATCGTGCGGCTACAACTCTAGTATCACAGGTCGCGCGGGCGGCGGCACGGCTTAACGCGCTCCTCTGACCGGTGCGATTGAGGGTTCTGCCGGTTCGCCGTGGGTTGGGAGCGGTGGCGCGCAGCCGGGGCTCCGGCTCAGGTCGTGGGGCATAGCTCGGGTGTAAACGGGGTCTGGGGAGGAAGCCCCAGCGGCCCGCCGCAGGCGCCGCCGGAGGCTGGCCCGCCGCAGGCGCCGATTTTTTGGCGTTTTTTCTCAAAATTGAGGGATTTCTCATCTAAATTCTCATCCAAAATCGAGCTCGCTACGAGCTCTCTAACTGCACAGCATCTCCTCGTTGAGCCTAGCGGCGCACGTATCGCCCACGCCCACATTCCTTTTTCTTGCCCTTGGCCCTTGCTGCACTCAGCCGCTCAACCTCCGCCAGTCTCTCCTTGCTCGTTGCTGGCGCTGCCGCCCCCAGTACTGCGATTGCAGCTCCTTGGCATGCCGCGCCGCCTCCATCTGCTGTGCTTCCCACGCTGCCGCTTCCTCTAAAGCAGCGCCGCCACTAAGCGGCGCAACCAAGTTCTCGCACTGTTTGCATGAGCATGTGTCCTGCTGGTGCGGCGCACAATCCGCGCGCGGCGAGTGAGAGTAGAAGACTGACAGCAGGAGCTGCAGGAGCTGCAGGAGCTGCGCAGATCGGATGGGTGGTGACGCCGTCGAGCGACGGCGCAAAGACCAATCACCACCGCTGAGAGCCGCGACACGAGGCTGCTGGCAGCTGCACCTGTGAGAGCCGCGACACGAGGCTGCTGGCAGCTGGCAGAGCGAATCGCGATTCCGGCGGCCGGCGTCAGCCCGCCGACACCGACGGGCTGTCTGAGGTCAAACTCCCACCGCACGTC